GCATACTCCACTCTGCTAATTCTCCTTTAGCCTCTAAGAATAAATGTGAGAAATTGAAACCATAATACATGTTTTATTCTCTGATGAAACAGGATTTGTTTCTATAGCCCTCATTTATGCTGAACTAGAATGTTGGTGTCTGGTCCAGTGTTTAGATGCCCTTGAATGGATTTATTTATTTATTTATTTATTTATTTACTGGCAGAACCGGGGATTGAACTCAGACCCTTGCACTTGCCAGGGAAACACTTATTCTACTGAGCCATCTCCCCAGCCCCTTGAATGGTTTTGAAACACACAGAACTAGTTGTTCTCATGCTGGAATTCTATGGATGGTACAGTAGGCAAAAGAGGTGTGAGGACTGCGTGGTTCTCTGAGAGACACCTAAACTTCTGGCCCCACCTCAGCAATAACACACTGCAAAATTGTCTGTAAAACTATGTTTGGGGAATTTACATGTTTTAAAAACACACTTAGGCAGCTCAAAGTTGTGTTTGTTTGTTTGTTTGTTTTTCAGGAGGATATAGAACTATACCATTTTATTACAAAGAGTCTCCCAAAAAATGAAAGTATCTCAAAAAAAAGAAGCTAGACTACCAACCTCCACCTATAGAACTGGGGAAGACAGGGCAATGTGAGCTGCTTAGCTCATTTGGGGCCAGTGTAAAGGTATGAAAAAAGAAAACCTAAAAACAGCAGATGTTACTGTAGGGGTCCCTGAAGATGCAGCCACCCCTCCCAGGTCACTTAACACTAAACGGGCCCTCGGCACGTCAGGATTTCATCTTCTGGCTGCATCGCTTCCATCCAGATCTGGACCCTTTATGACTTAAAACTAAGACTTGGGGATTGGTGGGGAGCGTGATTGTTGCTAGAAAAGCTCCCCCAGCATAGCTGCCCTGCACTCAAGGGCCCTGGCTCCTCTCTAGTCCCTGGGGACGTTTATATTTAATATATTGTAATATAAATATACAGAGAAATAGAAAATATAAAATCTGAGGGTTAGAGGGAAAAAAGGAGGGAACATGGCAAGAAGCCTGAGCTGTGAAGGGCTGCTTAGGCCAACTTGACCTCTTCTTTGACCTCCTTTGCTTCTGGCTTCTCCTCCTTGTTCTTCTCCTCTTCTGTCTCCTCTTTCTTCTCTTCTGGTTCTTTCTTTTTCTCATCTTCTGTTTTGACTCTTTTGGCTTTCTTGAAGTTGAAAGAGTTCTTGCGGCCACCTTCACCCTCCTCATCTGAGTCAGAGAACTCTTCCTCACAGGCAGTGCGCTTGTCAGAACAGATTGAGATACACTTGTCAGGGTCTTCTTCATCCTCATCACCACTCTCCTCAGGAACGGCATCCTCAGGAATTGCCTGCACTTGAACCCCAGGTGCATGGGGCAGCATTCTCAGGTTCTCAAAGAGCTGCTGTTTGATCTTCTCCAGGTACTCATTAGTGTTCTGGTTAGTCATATTGGAAGGACTGATGTGAAGCTTGAAATCTGGTCCAAAGTATTCGAAGTAGTCATTGTATGGGAGTGCATTAGGGATCTCTTTGTCAAGGGCCACAGCTGTTTCGTGCGTCCAGCACCAGGCAACATTACAAATGGTGTAACCACCTCCTCCCACCATCAGCATAGGCAGGTTAAAGCTTTTGACAAACTCCACACACTTGGCATGCCCTTTGATGGTTAGATTGAAGCAACTCAGCCAGTCCCCAGAAAGGGAGTCTGAGCCACACCGTAAGACCACCACACTAGGCTGGAACATCTCCATTACTTTGGACATGACCAGCTTGAAAATGGCCTCATAGGACTCGTCACCAATCCCATCTCGGAGTGGGTAGTTAACAGCATAATACTTGCATTTGCCAGCCCCAATATTCTGTAGGTCCCCAGTTCCTGGGAAGTACTTTCCATATTTATGAAAGAACAGTCATGACCCGGTCTGTGGTATAGAAGGATTCTTCCATGCCATCGCCATGGTGAATATCAATGTCAATATACAGCACTCTCTGGTGATACTTTAGCACTTCCAGGATGGCCAAGACGATATCATTGATGTAACAAAAGCCAGATGCCTCGGACTTCTTTGCATGGTGCAGGCCCCCTGCCCAATTCACAGCGATGTCCATCTGCTGCTTATTAAGTTTCACAGTACTTGCTGCAGAGCCACCAGTGGACAACTGACAGAACTCAAACAGGCCATCACATACTGGACAGTCCTCACCAACGTTGAATCTCTGCAGCTGCTTGCTGTACTCAGACATGTTACCGGGATGGATGGAACGCAAGAGCTTAATGTAATCATCACTGTGGTACTTGGTCATCTCCTCAGCACTGGCCTTGTGAGGGCGATAGATTTCCATCTTTCAGTAGAGGCCATAGTTGAGCAGCAGATTGTTAGTCATGCAGATTCGGTGAGGCTTCATTGGATGGCCTTGTCCATAATAGTAATTTCCAACATCCCCTTTGTATTCTCAGCAGCAAAATCCATCCTAGCGACTGTCTCCACCAGACTCAGCCTCCCCTCCCGGCGTCCTGCTCAAACTCTCCCCATCAGACTCCGCCAAGAATCTCCCTCCACCAGCACCATCTGTGGCTTCCCCGGCGTGCCTTAAAGTTGTGTTTGAGTCGGGATGTATTCATCCCATCCGTTGCAGGACAGAGTGTGTGTTGCATGCTTTTCCTTACTCCTTAAGAGTTTGTCTTAGTTACTTTTCTTATTGCTCAGACAAAGTACCTGGTGCCCAAAGTTAAAGGAAGAGAGGTGTATTTGGCTAGTGGTTTGTAGAGGCTCCCTTTGGTTCACAGTTGGCTGGCTGCAAGGCAAGGGATGTGGCTGGGAGGCTTGTGCAGAAGTGGGGTGTGGTGGACAGAGGGCAGCAAAGCAACGAAGAAGCAGGCAGCCGCAGCAGCTCCTTTGTCCTCAGATCCCGTGCAGACTCCGCACCCCTCGGGCTGAGAGCACTCACACTCGGGGAGGGCCTTTCCATTATCTGCACCCAGGACTATGCTCCAAACGAATCGATTGCACACCCTCAGTCCCAGCGTCCCACACTCAGATCCAGCGACCTCTAGATCCAGTGACCTAAGGAGGCCTGTCTGATCACAGGTATTAGGAACATCGAGACACAAGCTGTATGAGAGTTCATTGGAAGGAGGAGGGACTGAGGGATTATTGATCCTAGACTGTGTTACTAAGTGCTGCTCTACAAAGTTACACTCTGGGGAAAGCCGCCAGCCATGAAAGTCCATGTGCATCTCATCCCTGACCTGCAGTGGGCGCTGGATGGCCTGCAAGAACAGCGATGAGCCTTCTGTAGATGCAGGCCGAGAGCGGGCTGCGAGGCGGGCACTGCAGGGCGTTTGTGGTCCTGTGCCCCCTGTGCTGCCCAGCACATGGCTTTTGTGAGTTGACCCAAGACAAAAGTTGCTGTTGTGTTGAAATACAAAGTGGGGGGTATGTTTTATGGCTGTAGGCAGAAAAGTTGTTTCAAATTTAACTTTTTTGTTCTCTACAATTAAAAATGTGTAGACCGAAAAAAAAGCATTTTCTGAGCTCTGTCCGTCGTGGTTATGCTGAGGCAGTAGCAGCAGTCACTGCCACCGTGTATTTAGCTGGAGATGGGAGGCAGCAGGCATTGTTGGTTTTTCTCCAAGATGCTGGAGAATCTCATCTGCCATTGGGAAAGAAAACTGCATGCATCTGTGTGTGCATGCATGCAGTGAAAATGCTGGCTTGAAGTGAGGTAGCCGATAGTTTTAACTTTTTTAGTTTGTTTATTTGGTACAGGGTCTCGCTTTGCAGCTTGGACTCCTGTCTCAGCCTCCCCAGCGCCAGGATTACAGGCATGTGCTGCCACACCCAGTTTCAGTGACCTGGGGATACAACCCAGCAGATGCTTAGGCCACTGAGCTATCTCCCTGGCTAATAGTTTAAATTTTAAAATGAATTTTGGAGCCCCAGGTATGGTAGTACATGGCTGTAACCCCAGCACTGTGCGAGGCTGAGACAGGAGGATTACAAGTTTGAACCCAGGTTGGGTAACTCAACCAAGACCCTATTTAAAATAAACAAGGATAAGGGGATACAGCTCAGTGCAAAAGGCCTGTGTTCAATCCCCAGTACCATGGAAAAAAAGTTTTGAGTGTTGGCAGGTTAGAATATTAAAAAATAACAAAAAGAGGGGCTGGAGAGATGGCTCAGTGGTCTAAAGCACCTACTTAGAACAAGCTTAGCAAAGCATCAGGGACTGCGGTTGGATCCCCCAGCACCACATGCCAGCCAGCCCCGCCCCCTGGTGGGCTGAGCTGGCCACACACACACACCTCTCTCTCTCTCTCTCTCTCTCTCTCTCTCTCTCTCTCTCTCTCTCTCTCGCTCTCTCTCTCTCTCTCGCTCTCTCTCGCTCTCTCAAATAAATAAATAAATAAATAAATAAATAAATAAATAAAATTTAATAACAAAAAGAATCATTCCTGAGTGGGCTTTGGCCTTGGCTCTGTGGACCCATTAAGGGTGTTCAGATGATCATCATGTTGTGTTTGTGTAGCTTGTTGGCTGTAAGTAACTGTGTATCTATCCTAACTTTTTGTTTGTACAGATAAAAAGTCCTTCAGCTGTATCCCGTTCTTTTGTTTGGTCTGTTAATCTCAGCGCGGGGTGGGGTGTTACAAGGTAGATGGCTGCGTCCCTGTTTTCATCTCTTCTCTGCTGTCTGTTAGTCCCCAATATGTACTGGCATGCTCCTTATTTCACAGACAAATTTTCATCAGCGACTTGATCTGTGGATCATGACTGGTCTGCAGTGTCTCCAGCTCCTGTTCTTTGTGTTTCACCCAAGAGTAAGCCAGGTGCATCTCTCGGGTCTTCCTTGTGCAGAATGCAGAGTCCCCATGTCCTGCCAGGAAAAGCAGGCGCAGGTCCTGCTGGAGAGGGCAACCAGTGCCGTGGCCTCTGCTTTTCTGCAGTCTAACTCGAGCCTGCTCCCTAACATTCTCCTCTTCCCTTTCAGCAGACCTACTCCAGTGACATCCACTGTGTTGAAGAGATTCTGAAGGTGAGTTCTCCTGCTGTCTGTCTTGCAAAGCATGTTCAAGCCCCATGAGTGCCTGTGTTAAGGACAGCTGCCAAGTCCAGGCCTCCCGGGAATGGGGCCCCCACCCCACACCCCAGCAGTAACATGGACCCTGACAGTGATAGCCGGAGACACACAGCACAGCTGAATTCTGTAGTAGATTTTATTAATTAGAGGTGGTCCACTAATGGCCTGGCATTTGGATCAGTTTTAGGGTGTTTCTCAAGTTTTTATGGTTGGCTGTAAGGATCCAGAAGTTCGCCACATCACAGAAGACACAGCTCCGGGTACAGCTGTGGTGGCAGGCACCCCGGTCAGTTAGTCCTGGTTTACGCCTGCCACGTTCCCACGGTGGCATCTGGTGTGCCTGGACTCTTCTTCAGTGAGACTATTGACATTTTAAGGGAAGAAAAACAGAGAGTAGAAAGTAAAAAGCATGTTTTTAGGCTTAGTTCAGTTAAACGCTAATTTTTTGTTCCTGTTTATTAAGACTTTGATGAATGTTTGTGCTGCTTCTCCATGTGTATCATGGAATGTGTTTTCCATCCGTCCGTCTGTTCGTCCATCTGTCTGTCTGTCTTTCTTTCTGTCTTTCATTCTTCTTGTGGTACTGGAGATGGAACTTAGGACCTTGTACTTGCCAGGCTGGAGCTTATGCCTCTGAGCTATCTCCCCAGATCATATTGAGTTTTTCTTGCCCATGACAAATTCCTTCTTGGATTCAGTTCCAGGAAAACAAACAAAACCAAATTCTCCTATTAAACTGACATGTTCTTTCTTTTTCTAATCAAAGAAGAACCACATAAGTTGTCATGTTTTCTATTCTGTCTTTAGTGGAGTATAATTTTAATGCTCAAATATGGCAATTGTAATATTGTATTTATCCTTCCTCTGTGGCTTATAAATTGCTCCCATGTCAGTTTTAATGATTCTTCACTATAAAGTTTTTGAGCTTAAAGTGGAAGATATGTATCTGGGCCTGATCTGTTAATCTCTCTCTCTCTCTTTTTTTTTCTGGGTCTCCCATTTTGTTTGTTTGGTTTTTTTTTTTTAATTAATTTTATTGAAAAATAACAAGACGGTTTCAAAATAGATAAGTAGGACAGTTTCAATAATACACTGCATATTGTTGTCTTTGTAGTGGTTATTCATAGTACAAGATGCAGACATGATATTCTGTCCAAACACTGTTAGTACAAGTCTTTTTTCCCATTGAATTAAGAGAAATAACTGTGTATCTATCCTAACTTTTTGTTTGTACAGATAAAAAGTGGTCCTTCAGCTGTATCCCGTTCTTTTGTTTGGTCTGTTAATCTCAGTCTGTACTAATCTTCCCTAAAAATATACTTAAATGATTTTGTCTTTAATTTTCCATTGTAAAGTTGTAAGTGATAGTAGTAAAGAAATGTGTTGGCTGTTCTGTGGGTAATCTTTTTTTTTTTTTTTTTTTTTGAGACAGGGTCTCACTGTGCAGTTCAGGCTCACCTTAAACTCACTAGCCCAGGCTGGGCTCGAACTCACTATAGTCTTCCTGCCTCAGCCTCCAGAGTGGTAGGGTTACAGGTGTATGCCACCATGCCTAGCTTGTTGGTTATCTCTTTGCCTTGTGAAAAATTTGGCAGTAGCAGTATCTGGCCAGATATTTGGGAGACACTGCCATTGTTTTTGCTGCACGATGTTTTTTCCTTCTTTTGTAGCTAGTGCTTTCTGAGGAAGTTACGTCTAAGCCCGAAGTGTAGTTCAAGATGAGAACTTTTTGCCAGCCAGCAAGTACATAATAGCCAGAGGGTCTTGGTCAAGTTCTTGAATCATACTTTCCCTTTTCTATTTCCGAAATATCTTAGCTAGTGCATCCGTTTTCATTTCGGTTTGATTTATTTTAGCTAGTGAATTCTCAGCATAAGGAATAACCTAGGGGGCCAGGGAGATGGCTCAGTAGAATAAGCGCTTCCCTGGCAAGCACAAGGGTCTGAGTTTGAAAGTTTAAAAAAAAAAAAAAAAGTTCAAACAAGGGTCTGAGTTCAATCCCTGGTTCCGCATGAAAAAAGACGAAAAAAAAAAAAAAAGGAGTAACCTACTCATGAAATAGGCCTTAGCATTTTCACTGACATTGGAGTGACTTGGTCTATGGTTGCAGAACTACAGCAATACAGATTTGCTGTCTGCATGAACGGTTGGTTCTCTTCGGCTTTGACATGTGTCCATGACACATCTCACCCTTTCCGTGAGAGTAATACAGCAAAGGGTGAACATAGTGTTCTGGTTTTTATTTTTATTAGTCCATGCTTGCAGTGTCAGTGACCACATTCACTGTGAGAGCTGGTGTGTGGACACACACATCTTCATCCTTTTTACTTCCCCTCCCCCCGTCTCTTGGTCCCCTTCCCATTCGCAAAGCCTCCGTGTTTCTCTTTCATTTATCTTACTCTTTAATTTATGTATACTTCGGATTTCTCACATAAGAGAAACTATGTGAGACTTAAGCTTGTGCAGGCAAATATTTTAAATTTAAGAAATTCATCCATCCTCCCTCCTCAAGCATTGCTTTAAGAAACTTCCTCCCTCCCTAGGAGTGCTTGAGAGGGAGTGGTTACTGCAGGCAGAGGGTGTATGTTTTCATTTGGAAATCATGAATGAAGAAAGCAAGTGGAAGGGCATCTGGGAATGAGGCTTTTCAGGGCAGGGACTGCAGTCCCCGACCACACTGTCTCTGAAGTTGGTTTCCACGTGTAGGGCGAAGGCGCCAGGCAGGCAGATGATCTGTAGGGCCCATCCCTGCTGTCTCGGATGCTGGTGCAGACATCACCCTCTGCCTTGACATCCCCTTTTGTCTTGCACCAGCAGTTCATTAAGATGATCAGGGATCCTGACATGGGAAGTAGCAGCAGGTTTCCTAACACCACAGAGCAGTCACAGATGTTTGGCTCTCAGGGTGATATTTTGGGGGGAAGTGGTCCCTGTTATTCTCACAGGCTGATGGGTGAGCAGGTAGCAGACTGACTCTGCTCATGGCCAGGATCTGGTTATATAGTGGCATCCAGAAAGGGTAGTGCATGGTGGGGCAGATGCAGGGAGCTGGGGTTCTCTTCCTGTAGCCTTGGGGAGTGGAGGCAGTCACAGAGACTCTCCTTCAGTGCATTGATGTGTTCAATCATTTATTCATAATGTTACCATCAGCCTGCACATGCTGCCCAGCACTGGGTTGCCACAGAGTCCTTGCTGTGATGGCAACAGGAGATGTGAGTCTATAGTAGAATACAGAAGGACTGGGAGCAAGAGGCCAGGGAGCTGAGAACAGGGTACAGGGCAAGAGTGGGAGAAGGGCCTCGAGGCAAGCAGAGTCAGGCATCAAGGAGCAGCTTGGACTGGACAGGGTCTAGAGAAAAATGAGTCAGGAGGAGGGGGCAGCAACCGTGCGGCCCAGAGAGTGGCACCGAAGCAGATGCCTGTGGTTGGGCTCTGCCGGTGTGCCCAGTCAGTGGGGGCAGGGAGCAAAACCACAGCCTCCTCTGTGGAATGGCCCCCTAGTGCCTGAGTCCCTCTGGCAGGCTGGCAAGGCTTCTAAGGAAGTACATGAATTCCTTCAGAGGACAGGGAACCCTAGGGTCTGAAGGAATTTATGCTCTTTCCAGCAGCCTGACTTGATGTCTGGGGCAGCCTTCGGCATCAGCAATGACAGTGGATGTTGTTTAGGAACAAGCATGGAGATTCAGAGGGTAATGCTCTCAAACAGGGCTCAGTTAATTGCTACATGCTTTTATATTGTAGCATTGTAATGGTTTCAGACTTTAAAGTTTTTGCCAAATAAATAAAACAGCAGGGAGCACTCTGTGCAGTAATATTTAGATTCTTTTAATCCTAGACTTCGAGTTACACAGGGTAATGAGCTGCATGTTTTAAGTGCCTGCTGTACAACGTGCATTCAAGCATTCACTTACTTGAACTCTTTTACCATACTTGAAAGTAAGTGTTCTAAGTTCTTTTTTATTGAGAAACAGAGGCTCGGATTCCGGGTTCCTCCCAGAGGTTGGCTCAGGATGGAATGGGATTCTCCCTGGTCTCTGGCTGCAGAACGGCTGCTCTGGCCCTGGCCTTCCCAGGACCCGGCGGGCGGCCGCCTGTGGAAAGGCACAGGCTTCCGTTGCTCACAACCAGCACGCGCCAGCATCGGGGCAGCGCTGTGCAGGATCTCTTAGCCTGTCCCGGGCCGGTGCAGCACAGTGGGGGCTTCTTGTACTTCCCCAAAACATTGGGCATCTGACCTGCACTCTGCCTGGCCATCGGCATTCCTTGAGCCTCGACTGAGTCCCTGAGAGCATCATGTCCTCCTCAGTGACATGTTGGAGTTAATGTTCTGCAAAGCCCTTGAAAGTCAGAGTGTGTGGGAGACACCTTTTATCTGACATACCTGTTTTCCATAGGGGTGTGTGTATGTAGCAAAAAAGACTCACAAATATGTTCAGGAGAGCACAGTCTATGTCAGGATAAGCACATTAATTTGTAAGCTTTGGAAATCTTGCCTTCAATCAATGAAATAGTAAAAATTAAACTTTTAAATAATTTTATTTATTTATTTGTGTGTGTGTGTGTGTGTGTGTGTGTGTGTGTGTGTGTGTGAGTGTGTCCAGCTCAGCCCACCAGGGGGCGGGGCGGGGCTGGCTGGCATGTGGTGCTGGGGGATTGAACTGCGGTCCCTGTGCTTTGCTAAGCTTGTTCTAAGTAGGTGCTTTAGACCACTGAGCCATCTCACCAGCCCCTAAAAATTAAACTTTTGATGGAACAGAAAGGTAATCTTTGAAGACTGCCTCCTTCCATGGAGTCCTCTTGCCTGCAGAGTTGCAGGGAGGGGTCAGGTCTATTAAAGGGCCTCCACGTGGAACAAGGGGCCTCCATTTCTTGTTTGCTTCTTTGGTCAAACAGGAAAGGTCTTCTTCCTTTGAACTTCAGTCATTCCAGGAAACGCAGTGACACAGGCAAGGGAGATGGTGTGTAGGAGGGAGCCGCTTTCAGGCGGCCTGCCGCTCCCGGTCCTTCATTCACACAATCCCCAGCCCTCTCACAATGCAGAGGGGCCATTATCCATTATACTTGGTGTGCTGTCTGTTCACCTTCCTGTTTTCTTCTTTAAGCTGTTTTGTTTTCATTTTTGTAAATTGGTGGTCTTTAGCCTGTGACCATTAGTCATTCAAGTAGGTGTTTCTGAAGTGACTGAAACAACTTTTCAGATAGTACCTTTGACTTGCCATTAATCCACCTGGCACCCAGTTTAAAAAGATAGCCTGAGTAGCCTTGAATGTTTTGTTCACAATGTATTTTTTCTTCCCTGTCTACATCTCTTCTCAGGAAATGACCCATTCCTGGCCACCGCCTCTGACAGCAATACACACGCCCAGCACAGCGGAGCCCTCCAAATTTCCTTTCCCTACCAAGGTAACTCCTCAAGAGTAGGCCTGGCTTCTGTACTAGTGGAGTGTGAGTGATGCTGTGAACCAGCTTTATGAAGTATTACACTTGATTCTCCGGCATACGTGAGTAAGAGCATCTTGGACTTTTTGTGTGGTAGAGCTTTGTAACCATTGAGGACTTCGTGGTCTTTTCCTTCAGTGAGGGTGCTTCCTGTGGAGATAGGAAACTGGTACAGGAGAATTAAGCGAGGTGGATGATCTGGTTCCAAGTTTTATATGTGCACACATGTCACAAATGCCTCATGCTTCCTAAATTTTTTTTTGAGGTGTTGCCGCTCAGGATGCCTTCAGGGCAGGTCTGGTTTGGCTTGAGAATGGGGGATCGAACCACAGCATCCTGAGCTTTGTTTCAGCAGGCACTTAAACACCTGAGCTAATGGGCAGGCCCCCTGCTTCCTACATTTTCTTAAAGGTTAATGTGATCAGCTGTACTACTGGTAGTTTATATAACAAGTCAGTGAAAAAACACAGTCTTTTTTTCTTGCTTTGTACTTTTGAATAACCTTCAGGATGTAGCTGTGGCACCTTCCAGTCTGGGTTCTGGCCAGCCGGCTAAGAATGAGCACGTGCTTGTAGCTCTTCCTCTCTGTGATACTGTTTCTGAAAGAATCAAGGGCAGTACATACCCAGATTTACCACTTCACTATTTCCCTGTTTCACAGTAAGACTTTTGTAAAAATAGTCATTATTACTAGTTTTAAAGTAAAGCCTTGGGGCCAGGGAGATGGCTCCGAAGAATAAACGCTTCCCTGGCAAGCGCAAGGGCCTGAATTCAATCCTCAGTTCCAAAAAAAAACAATAAAATGAAATAAAGTAAAGCCTTGAACTATAAAAAATATCTATGCTCGATACCAAAGGAAAAATAATCTCTAGGAAAGCACCTTTATGTAAAAATTAGATTAATGAGTATTTTAAAACTATGAAGATTAATTGAGATTGATGATTGAATATACAGATAATATGAGGGTCTTAGAGTGAAATATAGAATCTATATGCTAGTGTTTTGTTTTTTTTTTTCAGAACCAAGGATTGAACTCAGACTCTTGCGCTTGCCAGGGAAGCACTTATTTACTGAGCCATCTCCCCAGCCCTCAATTAGTGATTTTTGTTGTTTTTTTCAGAATCTATATGTTATATGACATGGATATTTTCTATATCTGAGAGTTTTATAAAACTATCTTTTTAATATTAAAAGCCACAGTTTTGCTTTTAGACTTATAAACCTTAATATTTTAATTAGTAGATTTCTTTTTCTTTCCGTAGGATTCTCAGCACATTAGTTCTGCAACCCAAAACCAAAGTAAGTATATATGTGAAATTGTTTATTGCACTGGAGGAGAAAGCATGCTGTCTAGTGGTTTAATGTAACATTAGTAATACATCCCCAGCAGAGATGAAGTTTTCCTAGCTTGAGAGAAGAAAAGGAACAGAAACATGAAGCTGTTCTTTGGGTGGAATTTAAGAGTACTGCAAAGAGTTACTGTAATGAAGATATTTTAGTAATATCCAAAACAACAAGTTGGATCACATGAGTTAAGGTTGTAGTCTCAAATGTGAATGGCCAGAGTGTTGTAACCCAGGGATTGTGAACAGTTGGAATATGTTGTCTTTTTGGGTTGAAGTATTTTGTGTGATTCTTGTGTTTTTTAAATAAGACCAAGAAATTTTTGTAAGGAATATAGCACACAGCTTTTCTAGCTCCTCTGTAGGCCGCATAGCTGTTTCCTGCTTCCTCTTTTTATGGCTTGTGAGTCCCTGAAAACTGAGGAAAATGAGGTTGCCTGGCTTCAGCGTTTGTCCTCAGCAGTAGCTCCCCAGATCAGTAGATTATTTGCACCTTGGCTAAAGCCTTAGAAAGATGATTAGGGCACTGGCAGTCATTTAGTTCATCCGAACGCTTACTGGAAGGGGAACAAGACACTTTTGCAGGTGGAATAGCACATAGTGGGGTGTGGTAACTGCTGCAGGGACAGCATGTTCTTTAGAGAGGAGGCACAGGCTACAAGTGAGGTCTCTGGTGAGTTTGCGAACAAGACAGGGCTCTTCTTTCTAGCCTCCCTCTTGTTCTCTTTCCTCACTTTGTTTTCCTTGATGATTTTGCTTGAGTTGTAATGATTTGTGCATAGGAAAAAAAATAGTGAAGTAAGAAATAATAAAAACCTTCCTGCAGAGGAGGGCTGAACAGGCTCCAGGTGTCAGGTCTGCCCTACAGCTACCTCCTGTATATAAAGCTTTATTGAGCCCTGACCAGAAACACTGAATAAAATCTTGCCAGGAACTGATAACTAAATTTCCCCCAGGCTAGAACTAAGCCTGCCTGTCTCTGCTGCCACTGTGTCCCATCAGCCGTGAAAGTGGAATGAGCTGAGACTGCCGGCTGCCTCTGCAGTGGGAAGTCTTGCACATTTTAGCAGCCAGCTCCAGAGGAGGTGCCAATGGAGTGGCGCAGGGTGGAGGCGAGGGCTGGGGGCTCACATTCTCACCTCTTGCTCCTCCCTTCCCTCATCTGTGCCTTACCCAGGCTGCTTGGCTGATGCTACAGGAAGAATCTTTAGCTTATCAGACAGGTTTGAAGGTATGCTTATAAGGGACGGTGGCCTCCTTGATCCTGTGGGCCCATGCCTGCCACTCTGAGGAGCACTTGCCAGGTGCTGGCGTGAGCCTGCAGGTCCTGGACCAGCTGCCGTTCATCCCAGGTCTTTGGCAGCGCTGCCCTGTTGTCCGATGGTGTTCTGGGAACTGTGTCTCTGAGAGAACGTGGCCCTGTAGACTGCAGAAGAGTCAGGGTGACTGAAGAGGGAGAGAGGGGTGAATGGATACAGCTTCCAGTGGCGAGAACGTGTGTCTGTGTGTCTTAAAGTATACCCAGCAAGTGGTCTCTGGTTTCCACCATCGATCTTCTGGTCCTAGTACAAGGGCTGTGGAATCTGTGGAAAGGCAATGTGCAAGCATGATGCATGCCTGACATTTGTAGTCATGGTCTTACCTGTCTAGACAGATGCAAAAGCACTTTCAAAATACCATCTAAGAGCTCCTGCTGGCATGAAGATACAGTGATAGCTGCAAACATAGAGGGCTTGCATGCGTGTGTGGCAAGAGCACTGGCCCTGCCCGTGGGGCACCTGCTTCTTTGCACGACGGGTCTGTTTCATTTCCCACTGCCTAGTGTCCACACAGGCAGGGCTGCCTCCAGCTGGTTTCCTGGCCTCCATGCTCAACATTCCCTGCTCCCTTCAGGCTATAACCAGCACTACCGCCAAGTGACTCTGAGGCGCAGTGTTGTGTCCTCGCGTAGATGTTGGTTGGTACCTCTGTGCTATCAGCTAAAGCCAGACGCTCCTATCCTCAGAGCCTCAGGCCCCTGTTTGCCTCAGTGCCACCTGCACAGACCCTGCACCTGGCCTGGCCCTTCCCAGGCATGATTTCTGTCCCTCCCCCTTCCAGGTGTGCTTGCCCTCCTGCACACAGGCCCTCCTGCCAACCTCCTGGAGAATCCCATGTCCTCTGGGGCATGGTCTGTTTTTCTTTCTCTGACTTGCCTTCTTTGGTCACAACTCATGGAGTGGCCATTCTCCAGATTCCGGGAGAGTCCATTGTGCAGGTGATTGCTGACCTTTCCCCACACTGCCTGGGGTTGTTGTGGACATGTGTGGTCTGTTTCATGTCCCTTGGGCCACTGCACCCTCATGGAGGCCTGGGCGGTTGCCTCATCCATGCCGCCTCTGCCAGGTAGTTGGTGACTACTGTTAGGGAGTGATGTGACGACTGTTAGGGAGTGGAGGGACAAGAAGGATGGAGAGGACAGAGGGCTAGACTGCCACAGGTTATCTGGGGTTGCGCTGAGTGTAGGGTGAGGGCAGCCCTGTCACAGTTCTTCCATAGGACCGCTGTACTGTCCCTAGGAATGGAAGAGCCCTCCTAGTCAGAAAAGTGGCATGGAAGGCCAGGCTGAGGGCTGCAAGGGAAGGGGTCTTTGTTTGGTTCCCTGCAGAATTGTTGCTGAGCATGCAGCACAAGTGTCGCCTTAGGCCAGCAACACTGCCCAGGGCAACAGGCCGCAGTGTGGTTGGCCCTGAGTGCTGGGCGGGGGTGAACAGGGAACCTGTGACCAACACGGAATAGTCCTGTGTCACTGTGTTCTGATGTTGTCTCCCTCCCCACAGAACAGCATGACGCGCCTCCAAAAACCCAGCCCAGGTCCCAGCAAGGAACATCGTAAGTAAAATGCTTCCATTTATTCAAAGTAAAAGCATCTGTACTGCAGGAGAGGGTGCTGAGGGGTTTGCTGGAGAGAGAGTTTTGCGCTGCTGTGTACATGGTAACTGTGGAAAATGAGCGTTGGCTTTTTAATTTTTATCTTCAGTAGCTCTACGTTTAGAGATGGGGAATGTGTACAATGTGAGATTTTTTTTTTTTTTTTGCCACTTTTTGGCCTAGTTTTATTAATAAGAAACTGCCCCATTTCCCAGCTGTTCTTTATTAAGGCCAAGCAAGTCTAGATATATTTTGAATTTTGAGAACATTTTATACTTAATATTACTGATGTTTAATTCAGTATTCGACCCAGATCACTTCTTGAAGGTATCACACTAGCATCTTCTTCTCTTTCCTGCCACTGGAGGTGGCTCTCAGGTCTGCAGGAGGAGCCCTTTGCCCTACCTCCTGGTGAGCCTGGGCAGCTAGCTCAGTGGCGGAGGCCGCTCGGGTACACCAGGTGCTCAGCCTCCAGATCTCGTCTGTTTTAGGCACGGTACTTGTTCCGTGTGTTTTGGAAGAAGTTGCTGTGGATTAGTTTTGAAACTGTAGGTGAGCTGTGAGGTTATTTTATCTAACTGCCACAGCTGAGTGTGAAACTGGGTTAAATCATTGCTCCAGTTCTGAGCGCCAACTCCTAGATGGAGTTTGTTTTCATTTCAACATAGCAAAATGAGCAAAAGGGAACAGTGTGAGCAGTCATTGTTCTTTCTTTTTCTTTTCTTTCTGTTCTTTTTTTTTTTTGCGGAACCGGGGATTGAATTCAGGCCCTTGCACTTGCCAGGAAAGTGCTTATTCCACTGAACCATCTCCCCAGCTCTAGTCAGTGTTCTTGTTTTTGTTTGTGGTGCTGCTGATCTAATTCAGGGTTTGTGCACGCTGGGCAAGCACGCTACCAACTGAGTTACATCCCTAACCATTTCTAATAAAAATAAGTTTATTATAGGCTTTAGGATGATTTTCCTTCCTGGTGGTACTGGGGATCACACACAGGGTCTTCCCCCTGGGCTACATTTCCAGTCCTTTTTATTATTTTTATTTTGAGCCCTGGCCTGTCTTTTGCAGAGAAGTGGCCTCAGACTGGGCCACAGAAGCCAAGCCACCCTTCTGTCACTCACAGGTGTGCTACCCTGGGCTTGGTAGCAGGCACAGCTGCACCTTGTAACACGCAGTGCCACTTTCTAAAAGTTGCTGGTCAATATCATCTCAAATAGTCTAAGAGAACATTAGTGGTGATCCCAGCAATTATGGAAGTGGGGAGGAGATGGAGGGGGTCTCAGGAAGCATCCCCAAGACTGGGGAAACAGAAGAAGGGCTGTGTGGAGTTGGGCCAGGCCTACTGAGGAGTACCAGAAAGAGGTACGCTTTGGGAAAGGAGTCTGACGAGCTCAGTGTCACGGAGAATGGGTAAAAGTGGTGTCCCACTTAATTTGTAAAGTGGTCTTTAAGTCTTCTATTGAGTGTGGGTTAAAGTAACCTCCTTACATACAGTTCTGCTGTTTGGGGGACTGCTGGATGCCAGGGAGGTAGCCCAGTGCATTTATTGTGTCAGGACCTCAGTTTACAAACTTAGTCTATGCCCTCATGGATTTTGTTCTTTTCTTTTTCTTTTTT